CTCTCTGAGGATGAAAGAAATAACCTTTACCTAAAGTGGGGTATCAGTTTACACTCGAAGCATAGGCGGTTGCAATTGGCAAACCTCCTGTGGAGTAACACACAAAACCTGGACCATATCATGGACAGTGCCACAATTGTTGCAAAGTTGGTAGGTTCAGTAGAGCCCGAGCAAGCATTCAAGGAGATGTTTGGTCTCAGGTTTGCACCGCGAGACACTCTCACCAAGCGGAAATCTCACTTTTGGTCAGAAAGTTTCAGGTCTCTTGTGTAAGCTTTTGCAAGATTGATCACCCAGTACAGAAATTTCATCGAGTCCAATTCCATTCGCGTATGGATTATGATTCTGTGTCAAATATCCCATTTGATATTCTCTCTTCAGATTGTATATTTTTTTTTTTTTGGATCTACTTTCTGATTGTAATATTTTTGTTTTTGAGTTAAAAGTTGTGATTGTAAATTTGGTCAGGCTAGAAATGGTGCATAAGGCTTCCCTAGTTTCTTGTAACGTAAAGCTCCTTATCGACACTCAAAAGAAAAGAACACCAAGCTACAGTTTTTACCATTCTCAGTCACTTCTAATTCTTAATTCTGCCCTTCTCATCTCTCTTTTCTCTGTCTATCTAATTTCGTATGACAAAAGAAACGAAACAACCTGCCTTTATGTAGGTGTTTTCCCCAATATTAGGTTCAATATTGCGGGGTGTGAGTAGTTGGTCGATCGGCATGGTATAACTGATCAAACGAACACTCGCATCCTACAACATCCCGGAAGATTTGTCACGCATTGACGTATTTCTGGTCTTATGTCTGACTCTAAGTCTTATTAGAAGATAATGAAAATTTGGCTCATCATTTTATGAAAATAGACTACTTGAGATCCTAGAATGTAGCCTAGATGATCTAACCAAAGCCTAATTAGTCATAAGAGATTATATGACATCTGTTTTTAGATTTAAGAAAATGCTGCCTGACTAGCGCCTAACGTCTTTTAGAACCTTGAGAATGATAAAGATCCAACGTAGGGTGTGTAGGGTACCGTATGGGTGTAGGGTGTTTCAGCTGGGGTCATATAACAGACCCTAGTGTCATATAAGATTGTTGCAAGAGTGTGTAGGGTGTTTCAGCTGGGGTCATATAAGAGTGTGTAGGGTGTTTCAGCTGGGGTCATATAAGATTGTTGCAACTCCCATCCATACGTGGCGAGCACGAGAGCTTCAGCCTCAGCAACTTCAGTTTCTGGTACATCCAGTGCAGCGTAGAATAATTTGTTCAGTTTTTCATGGTCGGTAAAATAATGATGCTTGGGAGCCCATTTAAGCACGGCGAGCACCTTAGCCTGGGCAAGCTCTTCACTCCCAGGCACATGAATCGCAATGTAACATATGAGAAAGTCGGATCAATTGCGTAGCTGCTCCAGCAATTATTATTGCCGTGGAAACCTCAACGTGAAAAATAGTTGCTTGTACATGCAAATTTTGTGAGGGCAATGCAAGCATTTTTCGTAACGAAATTGTTTGTTTCGTGTAAAAGTCGCAGAAGAGTGTCAACAATCATCCTTGTGTCTGTTGCTTCAAATGTTGTTGCTAAATTCCCAACAGCTTTAATGCACGGGATCAGGAGCTCCGGATCTTCCTTCTCATCGGTGATCTTTATTATTAATTGATCAGCGATAGATTTCCGAGCTGGAGAATTACGATACAAGGCAGATGTTCTCAGTTCAGCATCCTCCTCAGCAACCGCAGTGATCTCCATTAATGCTTCGGCAGATTGCAGTTGAACATCTTTGGTACCCTTTCCTAGGTTCACAACTAAAATTAAGAGGACACTTGATTCTGCGATGCTAGGAACAATGGCTGAGTTCCCTTTGGCTAGTTTGGCAAGGGCTCTCGTCGCCATAGCTTTCATTGCAGCCTTAGTGGCAGGGTCTTCATTGCCATTGACATTACTATTGGTTTTGCTCGTGGCATGGTTACCATCTACTTCAACAGTTTCGAATGCTAGATGGCTCAAGAGCCAGTAGACTACATCATGCCGTACGAAAACATCGCGGCATTTGGGGTGTCTAGCTGCGATCTTTGACACCACCCATGCCACAGCAGCCTGAACTTTCATCGGACCTTCTCGGAGGATTTTTGCCCACACTTTGCATACATCAGCAAGGACCACAGTGTTCGACGCTTTCCCAGGCATGTCCGAGTGACCCCAGAGTCCGGACAGCATTCTCTTGGCCTTCGATTGGACCCTCTCCCACGAATTTCAACAAGGGTTCAACTCCCCCTTCTTCAATGATGCTATGTTCGCAATCGTGCCGAGAAATCTCACCAAGTGTAGCTGCTGCTTCTGATCGAACTTGGAACGAATTACGCGTGTCAGCAAGGAGAGCATTTTTTTCCCAAATCAGGAACAGAAGTGGCTCACGTGATACATGGTTAAGCTGAGACCAGTCCATGTCCTCACTATTCACAGAACTAAGCAGTATGGTCAGCCACGACACTTTGCCAATTACATTTTCGAGCTGCATCAACGTATCGCTGAGCCTTAAGGGTTGATGCCGTGGGGCACGAAACACATGATGTTGAAATGGTTGATGATCTTGATGACGATGTGAGCATAAGAGTTTTTCATCAGCCTGGATTGAATCTCGTTGAGGATTAGTTCGACCAGCTCGAGGATGTACCGTATGGGGCGGTCGAAGATATCAGGGCCGGAGAGGCGGGAGCTGCGGAGTTGGCGCAGAAGCCCCGCCAACTTTTGAGTCTTGGAGACAGTAGGACTAGATCAGAGGAGACACAGTTCCAACCTCATGACTTGGAAAAGAATTTCATGCACACTGATTCCTCCCAGCAGTTATCAGATGGTATTCCTAATTTTGTTGATGGTAATCTGCATCAAGAGGAGAGCAAAGAACAGTCTGATGGAAATTCGGAAGATCTTTGCAATGAAGTTCGCTGCATTGAAATGGAACAGTCTGGCACAAACAGATATATGGCGTCAAACATATCAGATTCAAGTGCTAGCAGATACCAAAACTCAAATGTCTGTCTCCTGTAGCAAACACAGCTACCTCAAATTTCTTAAATTTTATATTTCCAAACTTTTTTTTTAACTTAAAAAAAAAAAAAAAAAAAAGAGAAAAATCCAAAATTATTTTACTTTCAAATTTTTTTAAAATCTTTTGCTGAGATTAAATGTTGTTATCCAATTATTTCGAAAATGCATTTGTTTTATTGAATAGGAATCTTATCATTTCAAAACAAATTTTGGCTTGCAAAAAGTTTCTGCTGTAAAAAACTAATTTGATAAAAGATGCTTTTGATTGCAGGTTGCAGTTGAAACGTACTAGACGTTATCCAATGCTCTTTTGAAGAGCAGCCCAATCTTCCAACCTTAATTTTATTTTCTTTCAGTCTTTTATTTCAATCTTTAATTTGCATTTATATTATATTATTTTTTTTCTTCCAAACTTGAGTTTAACAGAAAATAAGAGAAAAATCCAAACATATTTCTGCTATGAAAAACTAATTTGATAAAAACATGCTTTTGATGAAAAACTTAGATTTTCACAGGTTGAAACAAATTAGACGTTAATCAATGCGCTTATTAAGAGGTAACCCAATCTTATAACCCTAACTTTCATTGGGCTGGCTGGCTGGCTAGAAATGGTCAGCCCGCTGGCCTGATTTGGTAGTTTTGACCCAATGAGGCTCACTAGCTCTTTGGCCAGATCGGTTGGAGATGGCCTTATATTCCAGTTATACCCTAAAATATATGGGTGAAGAGATTAATTTTTGGAATTATCAACTGGCAAATTAGTAGCTGGGCAAGGTTTCAAAGTAATGAAAACACAACTCGGTACATTAAGTATCATAATACAACTAGTTGGATACTTGTTATGGTGTATTCAATTGGAATTCTGAGAGATTATAAATCTAGGGATATTCATCTCGAATTTTAATTTTCTCTGAAATTCAGTGTGTATTCAATCAGGATTTTAAAATAGTGTATTAAAATCGTTAAAAATTCGGGTGCATTTAACTAGGATTTTATATATGTTAAAACATTTCAGATGTATTCAATTAGGGATTTATTTTAAAGAATTTTAAAAAGTTGACTAATTCGAGGGAATTTGAGATATTTCGTAGGTGTATTTTAAGCATTCATAAATCTCAACCTAGATTTCGAAAGAATTGAATCAAAACTTTACATGGAATCTCTACAAATCAATTAAACTCCATCAAAATCCAAGGATTCATAAATCAATTAAAATCCCTAAATTTCAATTGAATACACCCCTAATAAAAATAGTTTCTGAACCGCTTGTATAATAATAGCTGTTGTACTAAGTCGTGTTCCTGATACATCGAAAAAAATTTCGGTGGCTGAGCCTAACGCAAAAATTGAAAAGAGGGATCGTGAGAGGAGGAAGATGAAAAAAATAAAGAGTGAAAGGGCATTCTGGAGAGATTTGGTGTGATAGAAACGTGGTCTCCGATACACTAAGTGTCATTATACAAGTAGTTGGATTTTTGAAAGAAAAAAAAATTCAACCACTTATATTATGACATTGGTGTAACGGACCGTTTTCCGACACACTAAAAAATGTCTCAACATTGTGGCATTCTATGATGTCGGGGGTGTTGGCTATTGGGTACGTTTGTAGGAGAAAACAGAGGAACTGTGATGTTATTGTCGACAACAGCACCCCCTCGCCGGCAGTCGTCGATTCGCCCGGCACTACTTTCTCTCTAAAATTTGGCCTTTGGATATCCAATTCATCAATTCCCTCTTCACCGCTGCACACACACTCTCTCTCTCTCAAACAACCACGAAATCAACTCCAATCTCCAGTTGATGTCATGGTAGGTGGTAAAACGTGGGATTCTTTGTCTGCGTATTTTTTTTCAAGGTTACACAACTTTAATCCGAGTGTAAGCTTGGAAGATTTTGGGACAAAATTTTTAAGTTGGGAACACTGAAAAAATCAAGGCGACCGAGGACTTTCTAGAGTAAGTGAGATTATGTTTCCAAAGGTTATTGAAGTATTATGCATTTCCTAGTACAAATGATCAAATGGTAGTAATACCATTGAATGCGATGATCAGAAACATAAACGACGTTCCGTGGACGATTTCTACATGATACCGAACTAATATGTAAAAGGAAAAAAAATAGAAGGTGAAAAAACAGCTAACAAAAAGCTTTATTTCAGACACAATTCACTCGGAATTCTCCAATCGGAAAAGGATCTTTCTTCCCGCCTACGCAAGACGAATAACTCTATGAAACACTGCACATTGTGAATGAGCGTCACAAACCTGCGAGCAACCAAGGTGCCAACAACATTCACATTGGAAGCTGACAGCAATGGTATCTCTAATCTGCTCTGGACTGTCCAGATCGGGATGAAAGGATGATACCGACAATCAGGCCATACAAAGCCAAAGCTTCGGCAAAGATGAGAATCAGAATCATGCCAACAAAAAGCTTTGGCTGTTGTGCGTTCGCCCTGCAGACCAAACCGATTTCATTACAAACATTCTAATGCGAATAGATCAACTCGACACTCTGTCGAAAAAGAAAATGGACCAATTAAACAAGGAGAAAGCGATGAGCAATCCAAATGAACTACTTGCAGGTAGCCAAAACCAAAAAAACATAGCAGCAGAAGCATGGATCAAACTAACAGTTCAGGGAACATCCAATAAAAAATTCGTGGAACTGGATACATGGCAGCCGAAAACAAAAGCACAAGGAACATCCAATCGAAAATTCAAGGAACATCCAATCGAAAATTCATGGAACATCCAATCGAAATTTTATCACTCTAACAAGGTAAAAATGTAGTCTTTCTTCTACAAGGGTTTGGCTAAAATTCTCTCACAATTGCATACAAAATTCATTAAATTTCTAGCAACCTAAAATATTCTCAAGCCAAATGAATAACAACAAAACAGACAATTATTGCCAAATCCACAAAAGATCAAAACTTTAGTCGCACAAAAACATAATCAAACAAAGCAGATGAAACAGAGGGAAGCAGATTTACCTAACACCGGCATCGCCAACGATGCCGATGGCCATTCCGGCGGAAAGTCCGGCGAGTCCACAAGCCAGACCGGAGGAGAGGTGGGCGTACCCATCGAAGAGGTAGTAAGATTTGGCCTTTGGGTTAATCCCAGTACTGATAATCACAGCAATGATCAAACCGTAGATACCCAACACTCCCGCCATAACAACCGGAACAATCGACTTCATCACCAGCTCCGGCCTCATCACCCCCATCGACGCCACGCCCACGCCGCTCTTCGCCGTCCCGTACGCCGCTCCCATACCTGTATTTAACCAAAAAGCCCCTCTCAATCATCAATTTTATGGAAGAAATAAAACTTAATCGGAGTTAGATTTGGAGGGAAAGATGGAGTTTTCTTGTTTACTTACAGGAGAAGACGAGGGCGGCCGCCGCGCCAAGGAAGCCGAAGAACGGTGCCGTTTCGTCGCCGCTGAAGGTGGATGGCGCCATCTTTTCGGTGTTCCGATTAGCGATTGGGGTGGGAGTTTCTCAGATTTGGGAAATTTCTGATCGCGGAGATTGGAGAGAGAGAGAGAGAGAGAGAGAGAGAGTTGGATTTACGCACGCGAGTTTTGTCGCTTGCGAATTACGACAGTGGTGCCACTTGCTCTGAAGTTTCTGTGGGGCCTACTGATGGATGGAGTTGGGGTCACCCGACAAAATGGAGAACGTGGTCATTGGGTTTTTAATGGGCTTCTAAAACTCTGAGGGGTAACTAGATCATATTGCCTACAAAACCCACAAACTACAAGCCAACCGAGGTTTATCTTTGGGCTTTTTTAGGCCACGGTGCCCACATTTACAACATGATTACTTGATGGTCAATTTAACAGATTGTTAACATTGGACGAGTTATATAAAGTTAAGGTTTCATTATAAAATTATTTGAAAATCTAAGAAGTAGTTCAACTTACTTATAAACCCATGCAAGATCTATTTTCTCATCGTTGTGGATTCATTCAACACGCCCCTTTATATGTGACAAATTTTTAAGCCAAACACGCGAACTACACAATGAGATGAAGTCTAACACGTGTTGGCCGTTTGGCTTCACACATAGGACAACATGCTCTAATACCATGAAGAAAATTGTGATTCAACTATAATACCAATTGGCAATAGGATGAGTAACTCTAACATTGCTGTGGAGCCAAAAATAATCAAGAGGCGACACGTAGATTTTTGGGCAAGCATCCCTCAACCAAGCCAAAAGTGCCCAAAATAGGTAACAAATTCAAAATTATTTCATCCATCCTCATCTTATATTCCCTGCAAGGTATTTACTCCATAACCTTCAAAACATTCCATATAAATTGAGTTAATTGGCCAATTAATGGATTTATTACCTAATTAATCCATTAATTTCCAAATAACTCATCCATTACACCCCAAAAAATACCCAAAGGCCGGCCACTCTCTGTCCCAAAGAGGGCTGGCCATGCTCTATAAATTGAACCCCATTTTGTCTAAAAAGCTAAGTTACACACTCTTGCAAAACTCCCAAAAACTCTCCTAAACACTTTTCTCTCTAAATTCTAACTTTGGCATTGGAGGTTTTTCGGCCAAAGTCCCCCCCCCCCCAAAAAAAAATCATCGTGGCCGCGTGTGACTTTTGACCTTGACCAAAGGTGTTGATTGTTTTGTAGGTGTAATTTTGTCAAAGAAGGAAAAGACGAAAATTTGCATCCACAATTGCAGCATTATAAACCCATGTACGATTCTTTCTCTCATCAATATGGGACTTATTGTCAACAATAACATTGCACTAAATTCATAATGTCGGGATTGGTAATGCAACTTTTTAAACACGTCTAAGGCCTAGTTTGATGTCCAAGATTTGTTTGGATTAAATAACTCATTAAGTTCAATGCATTTCAAATGAATAAATGGATGTCAACTTGCATTTATCATCCAAATAAACGTAGCAGATGGAATAGTCATGTTTATTTTTTGTAAGTCCAACGAATACTGTAAAATTAGGAGGGATAATTTTTCTTCATCACTAATTAATATTCTACCTTCAACTTGGACAATATATGAAATTCATTTCTTCATTCAACATTCATAATATGTTATCTAATTCAAGTCGATATTAAACACAAAATCCTAACTATGCTATTTTTTGTATACTTTAGGGTAAAGTGAAACTAACTTTATGGCAAAAATATGCAATTACTTCTTTAATCATTTAACAGATTAAGGGGGGAAAAAACGAAAAGAAAGAAAGAAAGTGGCATTAACACACGTTTAAATTTAAGAGAATGCTAGGCTGATTCGTGTGTATGTAAGATTTTAGTCACTAATATATGTGATACTCATTATAAGACTCACATGTATTACGATTAGTAATGATCACTCATGCACAAGGACAATTAATAAATTAGGAACGATATATATATATATTTTTTTATCGTCGTGTTGGAAATAAAATTTGGAAATTTATTTAGACATTTTTGTTGCTTTATTTCATGTTTGTTACGGAAAGAATGACTAAAACCACCACCATGTTCATGCACATAAGTACCATTACCTTTTATTTTCATCTTCTTGCTTCTTTAATGACTCAGTTTAAAGTCAAATAATTATGACTGGTTTGATGGATTAAAACAACCGTGCAATGCTTAACATTGAATGCATTGTGATTATACATTAAAAAGCTCTTCCTCTTTCATCATATGTCTGCCTAAAACAACTTGTTGTGGTGTAGAAAAATACATTATTTCCTAACCCTGAAAGAAAGCTGACTATTATCTGTTTTTCCCAACAGCATGATGAATTTCTTATGATTATTGACTATCTGATCATTTTATTACTTCCAGAAGATGTTTACAGGTCTAGGGTTTCAGAAACCCTAATGAGGCAGGTGTGGCCTGCATATATATCAGATGAAGGATTTAAGCTAATAAAAACATAACCGGAAAAAGGGAAAAGAAAATAACTATAAATGGGATTTGAAATCTGAGTGACATTTCTTTGACAGCAGTGTGTGAAGTGTAATCATTTCTATGATCCTTTCCATACCCTTTGGTGATAAGTCCCCTTCCATTGCATTTGAAAACCCTCTAATTAAACTTTGCCATGATTTCAGAAAATTTTCTTTTTCTTTTTGTTATTGTTACCTTATTTGCATTTATTTGCAGAAAATCATGTGACTAGAAAAAGTTTTCTAAAGGAAAAAGAGGTAAGAGCTAGAGAGCAAGAATATATTAGACCTTTTTTGACAAAAAAACAAGCACAAATCAACATGTCTAATCAGGGGCAAAATGTATCTAGAACCAGAAGAGGTATGTCTGTGCAATACAAGCAACCAATCTAACAAGTCTATTCTAACGACGCGTTATCATCACTGCCATCATCATCATCATCGATTCGACTTGGACTCTCCACTGAAACCTTAGAAAGCTCTCATTTACACAGCTATATGTGCTGCTGCTGCTGCTTGCAGAGGACCCCTCAGCTAACCCCATTGCACATCATGGCATCTATTCCAATCCTTTCTCAATCAATGGCCCATATGCTCTCATTTCCATACCTCTAGAGAGTTCCTGTTCAAGATGATAACCTATTTATCAATATCATCGTACTCTTGCCCAGTTGAAAGAGGTTCTGAGTTCAAATCTCACATGCAACCACTATATATTGAGTGTTACTGAACAAGTTCAGAATTCAAATCTCACGTACGACATTTATTGAATAAGGGAAAAAAAAGAGAAAAAAGATGTCTAGAGTGAACCAATTCAAATATAACACTTAGCAGCACATGCGCCAATACCATTTCTCATGAATTAATCTTACCAATTCAATCGCTCAGACATCATAGAAAGTCTGTACTCCCATTGCTTTGTGCTCTTTTCCCCTTCTTTTTTTCAGTCTGTTTCATTGTTACTTCATTGACACACACACCATGAGTGGTTTGGGTTCAGTCTCCAACACTCTTGTCTATCTTTCTATGACAATGATTCCAATAACAAAACCTGCATAACTACAATATTTCCAGTTCACTACCATTTTAGAAAACATTGATCCATGATACAATCTCTGTGTCATGTCCCTAACTTCGTTTTTTTTTCTTTCAAATATGATCATATATATATATGCTTATATAAATTAGCCACAGGATACATCCACTCTAATTTGCGTTATTATCAATCATCACCTCATATAAATGACAAAATACACGTTTTAATTCAACCTTTTCCACTCACAAATATTCTAGAAAAGATACAAACAAATTCCATCAATTAGGATCTAAGAATTGTTTGTTGTAATCATAGCCTCTATGGTCTTAGAGCCTAGACGTAATATATATATATATATATTTTTTTTTAATAAAATGTTAATTAGAACTTAGAGTTAGTTGCTACAACAAATGGAATAATGATCATCCATGTCCCTGAAGGAACCTTGTGTTTCACACCTCAAAATAAAGAGAGAGTGATGGTAAAGTGCCTACTACTTGTTATGTGTAATTAGTAACTAATTATTAATTGACAAAACTCATGGATATTTCTCTTCACCAACCGCCATGAAAACCATATATTAGAAAGAAGACATGATTTCAAAACATAATTCGTAGAGGGTAAGGTGTAATTCTGAGATTGAGATTTGAGAGAGAGAGTTTGGAGGGTGGTCGATGTCAAAAAGGTCTATAAGATCCTAATTGGACCCCCAAGAATCTCCTTTTGCTGGTTACGCTAACCCTAACGGTCACATTTTCGACACAGCTAGCTTTTTTTTTTCCTTTTTATTTATTTATTTTTTTTATTTTTTATTTTTATTTTTTTCTGGTTTTGATGCAACACAGCTAGCTTTTTCATTTTTGTGTTTGCAACTTTTGGTTAAATCAAGTTTAACTCATCAACATACTTTTATAGTTCGAACGAGCCTAATGGCCTAACTCTTTGTTGGAAAGTAGAATAATTTTCATATTACTATCTTGAACCTTCTAATTCAGCATTTAGTAAAAGTTTTTTTGCGTCTCTTTTGTGCCCCAAACGTAGATTTTATTTATTTATTTACCACTTTCATAAATCTATTGAGTCTATTCGTTAAATTTCTCATTAACTGATGACGTGGCAAGCCTTCGGTCTCCTAAAATTTTTACTTAGGCCTTCTGTCTTCCAAATTTTTTTGTTTAATTGCCTCACCAAAAATAAACTTATGGGCAGCTCAAAGGCTGTCTTAGGTAAACGGAAGACTTAGCAAAGGGTCAATAGCCTAACGGATGTATGAAAGTACTAAAAAAATAAAATATTTGAGTAAGAAAGTGACACAAAAACACTTTGGATACTAAAAGCTGATAATTGGAAATTTCATGATAGTAAAATAGAAGGGGAAACAATAAACACATATCTTTTTTAGCCTTTCACACACCTTGTTTTATCTTGACCGTTGTATTCGTTTATGTATTGAATCCAACGGTTAGAAATCAAGAGGAGTGAATGAGAAGCTAAAAAAGTGTGTGAAAAACACCTTATGATAGAAAGTAAGACCACGTATAAACTACAAGAGAAATTTACTTCTACCATGATGTAATATTTGTT